ACGTACGGTCGATGGCTCGACGGAAGAGGGAAGATGGAACGGAGACGGCGATACGGGGGTGGGCGGGCTGACTGACTCTTCTCCGCAGTCGCTTTTCCTCCTCCACCAGCGGAGACTGCCGATCCTCCACTCCTACTACTTGGCACGTACTACTTGTGTCGCGGTGCGATCGAGTCGAGTCGACGTTTGGGTAGGTGTATGCTGGAGCGGTGGACGAGCGGCGTGTCGGGTCAGGGTTGAATTCGCACGAGGGGGCGAACGGATATATCGGACGTTTCTGCCTTTACTCTGCTCATTTTTTACCGAATCGTGTCTTTCGATGGCTGAAACGGTCCGAAGAAACCCTTGTCGTTAATACGTATACGCGAGTCTTTCTGTCAATTTTTGTCCAACTCTGGAATTTTCATCTTTGCTGCAACAAGGACGAGATATCGGTCTATTTAGAGAAGATTACGTAAACGTTGGCAGAATCGAACGTCGGTAATACACGATAACCTATCGATCCAAGAACGTATTTACGTGATATTTGGAAACGTTGTTCGACGAGACGTACCGTCGATCGATCGAAGCTCGTCAAATTTTAGAACAGAACCGAAAGCTCTATAAATTCTACGAAAAGTTTTAAACGTACGGTATTCGTAAGTAACGAGTTAATTAAGAATATTTAAATTACCGTTTAATTTCTTCGATAAGAGAAACTTTGTCAAAGTTTGCTCGGACTTTTCGCGTGGTAGTAGCACACGGGTAATTGCACTTACCGGAGCAAGATTTTTCTTCGGAGTGCCGGTGAAATTGACCGCAATTTAGCGATCAATTAATTTTTTTCCTTCGTACGAAGATAATTACTTTCGTGCTTTCGTTTGGCGACTCTTGATCCGTCTGGAAGTCGTTGTTCCTTAGTTTTCAACGGTACTTACGTACATCCACCGACACGTTTCCGTGCGTGACAATCGCGTCTCCTCTGGCGAGCGGTGTATCGCGGCATGTTGGAAGTTTTTTAACGCCTGCAAACTTCTCTTCACGCTCACGCGATTCCGATTCGCGTCTTCTATCGTGCTCGATGAGATCGTAACGCCGCCGCGTTAAGTCGACGATATCTTTTTCGATCGAGATCGGATCCCATCGATCGTACCTTTTTACCGCGTAGTAGGAAAAGTTTCTGCGCTTTTCTCTTGAAAAGCCCAAACGTTAGTTCTTATGCGAAGAAACCTTTGCAAACGATTTTAGGCGGTAAAGGTAATAAAGAATTTTATGCTTCGACGTATCTGGTTTTAGTTCGTTTTACAGGCAGATCGCTCTTATACGACGTCGATAAAATTTAATTTTATGGTAAAAAAATATCCCGATTTAGGGTTAGACCAGGACTAGGTAACGAGATCGGTATCAAGACGCTGATTTTGATTCTAACGAACTTTTCCTTATTTAATATTTTGTATCGTCGGGCACGCACGATGCCAAAGAAGCAACGGATTCGTAAGAAACTAGAGAACAAGTGTAAAAAGCGAAAATCGGCGCCGTTCGATCGTTACGCAACGCCGGTAAAATTCGATCGCGCGCCGAAAAACACTTTCTGCCACGAATCTTGCCAAAAGGAAAAACGAGGACGAAGGAGGAAGAAGGGGATCGTCCGAGAGCAGACATTGGAATCGTTGCGTAATAACGCTGGTTCCCTCTTTGAGGAAGATGTAATAATCGTGGCAGTCGTGGCACGCGAGTACCTTAAAACGCTTGACGAGGAAGATCCTTCGGTGCGTTCCAGGAAAATCGAAGAAGCTCGATCGCGCGCCATCCCTTCCACGTCCTTGGATTCGATAGTTTTGCTCGGTTTCTTGCGCAACACGCCGAACGAACAGTACCTTTTGCTCGACAATTATATAGAACTTGGAACCGAACGTTCTTTTCGTTGGACGAAACGTCGAATTAAAGCG